AGCCCACAGAATGAGAAAAAAAATTCTTTGCCGTCTATCCATTGGACAGAGAGTTAATATCTAGAATATACAAAGAACATCGAGAGAGAGAGAGAGAGGAAAAAAGAGGAAGAAAACAACTCAAGAAAAAGGAAGAAAACAATTAAAAAAATTCTTGGCCAGGAATTTAAAAGTTCTTTGAGATTTTTAATCTTACCCCAGTTAGAACAAAACAAAACAAAACAAAACAAAACAAAACAAAACAAAGACAACATTGAAACCAAGCAGCAACAAACGCTGGGGTTGATGTGGGAAAGAAGGAACACTTATTCATTGCCAGGAAGAGTGCAGACTGGAGTGATGAATGTAAGTGTGAGTGTGGAAGTTCCTCAGAAAGCTAAAAATATCCACCACAAGATTAAGCTGTGTCACTCTTGGGCACTTACTCAAAGCACTCCTTATCCTAATCTAGAGGCACCTGCTCATCTGTCTTCATTGATTCTGTGCTCACAATAGCCAGCAGACAGAAAAAGCCTAGATGTCTACCAACTGATGAATGAATAACAAAAATGTGGTATATTTACACAGTGGAATATCACTCAACTGTTAAGAAGAATGAAATTATGAAATTTGTAGATACATGAATGGAGGCTGGAAACAATCATTCTGAATGACCCGGAAAGACAAATGTTGCACATTTTGTTCTTCTCAGTTGTGGATGCTAAGTTTGAGTCTTCAAATATATGTTTTGTTTGTAACACCCAGAGAGGTCAGGAGATCACTAAAGGGCCATGAGGAAGGGCTTTCGGTGGTGGTGGGGAATAGAGTATAGTGGTATGAAGGGTTGGAAGAGAATAAAGAAACAGAAAGAGTTATATTGAGGTTGATGAGAGGAGGGTAGGGCAAATGAAGTAAGATAAGAGGGATAAACAACACTAAAGATCTTATGAGAAAGTCATATGGAAACATTACTGTACAGGATTTCTAAAATATACTTACACACAGATACACACACACACACACACACACACACACACACACACACGAGTTAAAGTGGACTTACCCTATAATAGGGAAACAATGTTCCTACTAGATACAGAGGCTAGATGATAAATCCCAGTGCAAGGAATGGAGTACTTCTTCTGGAGTTGTAGGTCCTGTAGACATCCAGATATTATAGGCTACTGCCATCATTCTTGATTACTCTTCAGAATGTTTTAGTTTTTTTTTTTTTTTTCAAAGAATTTTATTCTAAGTAGAGGCAGAAAAATAGGCTGGGAGCAAATAGAGGATGATAAGGTAATAGAAATACTTTTTAGGAAAGTAAAATATTTGGAACATGGTGGGATTATATATGGATGAAGCAAAGTTATATGTCGATGAATAAAATTATTGTGGATGAATGCATCAGAGAACAGATCCTAGTCTCCTATATGTTCCTAGTCCTTGATTATATAGTGCTCACACCCATTAAAACACCCCTCAGCATAATTCTTAGAAATAATGCAAATGGCAGCATACAAAACAAAATTAGCCAAAGTATTTAAACTTTATGATTGTAATAGATTTAACAGTATTACCCCTTCCTCACAAATTGTTATACAAGAATGTTTTAGTTTTAATTTATGTTGTTGGCAATAAATAAATGGTGTTGGGCTAAATACCATTTATTATTTGTCCTAGAGTTGTTACAGCCGTATTATTTACCCTGCTGTCACAATAAAAAAAGACACAGACACATGTTAGATTTTATCATTTCCTGTTTACCTTGGGTTGGGCAGATATTTCTACCTACGCCATCTCAATAACCTAACCATCCACCTCCCAGCCCCTACCCAGTGCCATCTGCCTTAAACACCCTTATCTGGGCTGCCTTCCATTTATACTCTTATACATACTTGTTTATATTTTTTCATCTTGGTGTTTTCTGCATCCACACCATCCTTGGAGTCCTTCCTCTTGGTCCATGTGGTTCCTTCTCCATGCTAACCCATCATGGCGCCCTTCTTCCTCCTTTCTTCCTGTCTTTCTGTTTGTTTCCTGTGATTCTCCTGAACTCAAATCCTGGAAACCTTAGCCATGCCTACCCCATTCTGTCCTGCCCAGATTTTAGGTCTTTTAATCAACCAATCAGAAATAATGTCTTAGGCAAGTTTACACAACAAGAATAGGGCAGTAACCAAATTGTGAGGTTCAGTAATCAGCATCAAAATACAAGCATCAGACCAACTCCCAACAAAGTCACTTTATTTTTAAAAAGATTTCATTGTAGTATTCATTGTAAGTGATACAACTTCATAGGACATTTTCATATACCTATAAAACACACATTGAGCTCATGTTTCATATATGCCATGACTTTGTCATTTTTCTCTTTCCTATGCTGCCCATTAATCTCCATTTCCCTAGGTGACCTCACTTTTATTTTTATGCCTTTGTTTAAAATCTACGCATCACAAATGAGAAACATGTTATATTTCATTGTGAAACTGGTTTAATCCATGGAGTATAATTATCTCCACTAGCATACAGTTTCCTGAAAATGACATGACTTTGTCTTTTTCACGGCTGAAAAGTTCCTTTGTCTACCTACATCACATTTTCTTTATCCAGTCCTTCGTTGTTGGACAACTAGGTTGATTCCATAACTTAGCTGTTCTGAGTAATGCTCCAGAATTTTATGATCGGACCGTATGGCTGCAGACTACCTATTTGAGGTTTAGGACATGGAAAAATCAAGCTGATTTTGACCTAGAAGCTTCATCCCTACTGTCTAGCTTTCACGGCGCTGGAAGGCGCAATGCGTAATACCGGAGGAAAAAAGTACCCATCAGTCTTATCCAGGGACTGACCTGGTGGTGCCCTCGTGGTTGCCACAGCATGGCAGTAACCAATAACTTTGCAATTAGATTGAAGTTTTGCTCCATAAGATAAAACACATACCTGACATCATTATCGGGCTAAGAACCTATGGCTGGACAGGTCGTAGGCCGCAGGGGAGAATCTTTTGCTATTTTTAGCTAAATGGACATAGTGTTCAACTGACTCTTACAGGCTCATCATTGAACCTATAGGTCAATGCATCTCTCAGGCCTCTCCTGAGAGGCTTCAGTTTGCAGTAGGTGATGATTAACACAGAGTCCTGTGCGTGGCTGGCCAGAGTGCGGAGAATAAGCGGTAGAATGTTTAACCTTAAATGGGACATGCATACCACAACTTCTGTCTCCGCCAGGCTCAGGGAACATTGTGGAAGAGGAAGCAGAAGGTTTAAGAGCCAGCAGTAATGGATGACTACAAGAAAACAGTGTCATTTGGATATGGCAGGGCATCTGCCCACATGGACTCACAGTGGGCGTTACAGGATGGGTAAGACCAAGTCATAGCAAATCCCACCATGGGCATGGGAGCTAGGCACGAAACCCACACTTAGCTGCAGAGACATTGGCGAATATTAGCTGCTGGGAGGGAAACGTTAGTTTTCTCTAAGGGTTGTAGATCCTTTTAAACCAAAAAGCCTTACCCAACACATATGGCCGTCAGAAGACAATTGGCATAGGGGAACCAGTTATTTCTGTATAGCACTTTAGTCCCACAGATTAAACTCAGCTCATCAGGCTTGTTAACAAACTTTTTTTTTTTTGAACCTGCTGAGTCATCTCATCTGCCATGATTTCATCCTTCTTCATATCTCTTCTATGTTTTCTTAGAGTGGTTTCATGGCTTACATTTAAGTGTCTGATCATTCTGAGTTGATTTCTGTAGATGGTGAGAGATTAAGTTGCCATATGTGTACTATGGCATCCATGGCATGAGGCTGGGCTCATCTTCCTGCATCCCTTTCCTACCCAAACAGACCAGTCAAAGAGCCGGCATTCTAATCATTCTAAATACTAATCACAGTGTTTCTGAAAGACCTTCCCCTGCCCAATCATCTTGTTATTATAAACCTTATAAGTACTCCCAAGAAACAACAAAGTACTAGGAGAACCCAAAAAGCTAGAGGCTACCTCTCAGAGACTGGGGAAAATGCTGAACAAATTCCTTACTGTACAGGCAAAGGGCAAAACCACACAACATTCCGAGAAATGAGCAAGTTAAGATGTACCACTCACATTAATATATGTGGTTTTCTTTCTTCCCTTGTTTAGCCACAGACACAGACATAGACACACACACAAACACACACACAAATCTAGATTTTGCATATGAAAAAAATTCAATCTTTGTCCTTGTGGGTCTGGCTTATTTTGTTTAATGTAACGATGTTCAGCCCTATCTGTTTTCTTGCTAATGTCATAACTTTGTTCTTTACAGTCGGGTAAAAATTCCATTGTGTATATGCACCACCCTCTCTTTCTTCATGTGTCGATAGGTAGCTAGGGTGATTCTATAATCAATCTATTGCAATATAGAGGGTTACGAGCCACCGTGCTGGGAATTGAACTCAGGACCTCTGGAAGAACAGAGGTCTGGAAGACAGTGTTCTTAACTGCTGAATTATTTCTCCAGCCTTGTGTTTGGTTTTTCAAATAAAGGAGCATGTTGCATATTCAACTGCTCTGTGGTCTTGGCTCCAGAATGAGGAAACACATGGAGAGGATCCAAGCAGAATTGCAGTCAGCCTTAGGCAAATAAAGTGTGACTGAGAAATAAGAGTTTGATGTTGTGAATCAGATGGGGACTGGGAATTTTGATGACACAGTAATGTTAGTTCACAATGTGATTTTTTTTTCCTAGGGAGATTGAGGTAACTTTCAAACTCGCTTTCGTATAAGGAGCTTGAATGATAAGAGTCTGGGAATCAGTGATTACAGTTGGGAGGGTGTGAATCACCGGATCCCTGGACCACATATGAAGAACAACTAATTCTCTTGTTTTTTTTTCCTATCTATCCTTTAAAAAAAAAAAAAGACCATTTCTCCTTTTCTTAGTAACTAATTCAATTTCAGGCAGGGTAGGTGTCCATCGTGTTGTGGGAGCAAAGGGAAGCAATGACCTGGCTGTGCGGAGGGCTAGTTTGACCGCAAATCGCAGCCCAAGCGCTGAGGGCGTGAAAGTGTCCGGACTGGGGAGTGAGTCCACAAGCAGCAGCCTGCTGGGAGGTGTCAGAGCCTGAAAGGTGAGGAGCGCATCTGTGTCCAACAGTGGGAAGCTGCAGGGAGTCTGAGCTCAAGAAGTGTGAGGAGGGCATCCATGCTTGAGGGCGCATCTCGTGGATAGTCAGAACCCCAGAGGACTGAGCAGAGGTTTCTCAAGGAGCAAAGCCCGGTGTGACACCTCGGCATCTGGGAGAGGCGAGGATGGACACCAGTGCATGGCTTTGGCTTCTAGTCAGGCTGAGATTCTGAGACTCAGCAGGATGAGGGGACCTTCCTCGAAGACGGTAAGCCTGGCGTGGGTTTCAGGAGCCTGGCGAAGCACAGAGCATAGGAGTGGAGGACACAGGCTGGGAACTCAGTGACATTCAGGATAAAGAGGGAATCCTTGCTGGGGTGGAGGACCTGGTCCCTCAGAGCCCAGGCGGGCTAAAGTTCTACCTCGTGCATAAGGTAGAACTGGGGTGGGGTCCCAGAGCCTGCGCAGCGCGCAGACACTCCCTGTGTGCCGGGACAGGCTAGGGTGTGTACCAGGTGCCTTTGGGGTGTAGAATGCTTCTGCCATGGCAGTGACTTGAGCGTGGTGTTAGGCTATGGGGCAGCTCTTCAGGGGCCAGGAATCAGCACAAGCTGGGTAGAGGAGGCTTTAGTGTGGAGGTTGCCTCAGTTTGAGCGTCAGAATATCAACTCTGAGGAGTTTGGCTTCTCTAAAGGCCTGGTTCCTCTTTTCCATTCCTTCCTGTTCTTTTCTCTCCCCCTTCGAGCTCTTGGTATTGTTGTAATTTGTATGGTTGGACTGGGCACATTTTCGGTGTGCTATTCTCCCTTTGCAGGTCAAGGGATTGGACCTCAGGCTGCTCGTCTTGGGCGTCTGTCTGTAACTGCCTGTCTTCCCTACTCGTGCTGGGGTAATTTGCTGCCACCTTTGTCTCTTGTTCAAGAGACATTTTAAAGAAGGGATGACACACGTCTTCTGAGGGAAGGGGAAGAGTTCTTCTCAGCATGTTTTCAGAAGACATTTATATTAACACGAACTTCAAAAATAAATTTGACTCCTCAGACATCAGCACAGACTCATCAGGTAAGAATGCATTTTCTGCTGACCCCAGTTAGTGGTGCTGTAAAGGACAAAGGCAGATGATCTTAGTTGCTGCTGTGTCTGTGGGTCCCTGGAATCTCAACCAAGGTGTTGCCTGTAGACAGATGTGAAAGGTTGTGGGATTGTGCAGTGGGAAAGAGAAGGTGTTGCCATTACTTTTATCATCTAGAAAAATTCGCACCATGTTATTGTATCTTTTCTACAGATAAAAACAAATAAATGCATGTAAAAGTTAAGCCACAGTATAATAATTTCCCTATCTCTCTTTGGTAACATATCATACTCTGTTTGGCATCTAAGTGCTGAATAGCTTCTTTCACTGTTGTAACTCTTTAGAAGTGGCGATTTAAAATGTGGTGATTTTATTGTAAAATGAGAGCTGCTGAACAAAGACTTCTTGACTAAGCTGAAAGACTTTAAAAGTATATATTGAAACACTGCGCAATCACTATGAAACTGATAAAGAAGACATGATGATATAATTAAAAAATGGTCTTCTAGATATGCTGGTACATGCCTGTAATCCTAAAACTCAGGAGGGGGAGACAGGGGCATTGTTATGAGTTTGAGGCCAGGTTGGACTATATAGAGAATTCAAGGTATGCCTTGGGTACACAACAAGACAGTATCTCAAAATAAAACAAGAAATCATAAAGGAAAAAAAGTCATGATTTAATGTCAAATAAAATGATAGTCTCAAGTCAGTATTTGTAATGTTCTAATTGTGAAAAATATACATTTATGTGTAAAAGCTTTAAACATGTTAGAAAGATACAGATCAAAATAATGGCAACACTAATTCTTAATGTTCGGGATGAATATTATATATATTGTAATGTTTCTATAATTAGCATGATTATTTCCTATTTGCATTTATGATTTCAAACATCACATTATTAGGTTTTATCATGCTCAGAAGCAGAAGAGTAGGGGAAAGAAGAAGAAGTAAAAACAGAATTCGGGAAATAAATTTTGTTTGTTTTTCAGTTCCTGAGAAGAAGAACACATATCAGAAAATTTGTCATAAATTCTCCAAAGTCCTCCTGACCTCACTCATAGTATATTTCCTGCTGCTGACAATTTTATTCTCTGGTTCTCTGATCAGTAAGTATGCCAGTGGAACAAGAGAGCAAAGAGAAGAAAAGGTACCCGTTAGACAGACCGAACCCTGAAAAAGCAACTTTCCCTGGGGAGATAGATAACATTGGGAATTTTGCTCTGTTTCAGAATTACTCTTCTGTAAAAATCATTCATGCTCACTAGAGAAGCATGTGAGTGTTTGCTGGTGTCACAGTGGGAAATCCTGGGGCATCTGTATTAGACTGCAGTCCTGAGGATGAATCTGTGTTTCCTCAGCAGCATTTAGAAGTCAGCCCCATTGGATGCACAGACACTCATAGTTTGGAATGAGTAGGGGGATGAGAAGAGAGGGAGAGGGCTATTCCAGGGACAGTGCGCCAGTGAATTCCCTTCTATATATATATATATTTCTCTTCCAGACTGTTTGAGACCTGAAAACTAGTTTAGAAAATAGTGTATTTCTCTGCAGATTAGCTTTCACATTTTAGGTGTCATTTGTTCAATCAATAATGAGTAATATTCATTTACTATATGTTGGGCAGCATGGCAGAGAGTCCAAAAAGAGCTACAGCTCTCAGTCTCAAGAAATTTGGAAACTAGTCAAGTGAGCCAGTGTGCTTAAAAAATCACGTGGGAAGTGCTCTGCAGGTAGGAATTAAGAATTAAGCACAGGGGGCTAAGGAAAGTTTGGAGGAGATGCCATGAGTGACAGCGATGTCATAGATACATGGGAGCATGGGAAATAGAGGCAGATACGGGTGTGTATTAAAGTGAAACTGTAGAGGGCAGACAAAACTGAACTCAGGTAATAAAATAATGCATGCGGTATCACATGTGTTTCCTCTCTGTTATTTTATTTTAGTAGCTGTTGCTGAGTCATTAGCTGGCCTAAACCTTCGTAGATTAGTTGAACTATTTTAATTCCTGGTAAGTGGCTTTACTGAGCCTAATCTCTCTTGGGAGATTCCATGATCCTAGGTGAAATTGCTCATTGTTGTGGAGTCAGACATCAGTGATAGGCAGCCCAGCTTCTCACTACAACTTCAGACTTCCAGGACAGACGGAGGCAGTAAGCCAAGCTCAGAAATGGAGCTAACAGTCATTTGATTCTGCGTATTATAGTAGCCAAAAAAAAAAAAAAAATGTCTTAAAGGCAGCTCAAATCAGGCCATGTAGAAATAATCCGAGTCTTTCGAATAAGGAACTGCAAAGACATCATCCAAATGGATGCAGATATAGGGAAGATTGAGAAGTGTTCAGTTTTGCAATGTGCCACAGACACACAGAGACACTGAAGAATTTGACTTCCTGGAGTGTGCCATTACAGAGGTGTAAAAACTATGAAACTAATGCAGAATCCATTTGAGAAGAGGTGGGGGCTTGACCTAAGGATCATGCTAGTGATTTACAGAAGAAGAGGTAGCTTCAACCAAAAACGGGGCAAAGTTTTGGTCAGTATTGATAGTTGGGAACCAGGGCACAGAAAGAAATGAGCTACGGCTTTGATATTCTGATCTCACAAAGTCAACAGTCATGAGTCTATTTGAAGAGGAGTAAGATCAGTGGTAGGTTTGGGTTGGAATGTGATGACTTACGTTTTGTTGATGATCACGTTAACCTCAGATTTAGCTGGGCTCATATTAGCGTATTTTAGGAAAGAGGAGTACGTTTTAGAAGACCTTGGCTTTTAGGCAGCAAATAACAAAAACAGACTAACAAACAAACCACTCCCACAAAACCCCAACTCTGCCAACCCAGGAAAATGCAGTATCACTAAGGAAGAGGAATTTGAAGGAGAAAGAGAAATACAGATGGAATTAGCTTGCAGTGTTTCTTTTTTTTTTTTTTTGATTTTTAAAACCACATTTACTAGAGCACATAAATATTTTGAGAACAAATATATCTATCTTCCCTTTCTGAATCCTCAGAATAATTTACCATGTTTTAACAAACTACTATAAATATCTAAGGGGAAAATGAATCTTAAAAACACGAAAGAGGTAAATAGACAGATAGGAACCACTGACAGAGTGACTTTTTAAAAGATTGAGCCACTGATTTGCAACTTTTATTAAAGTCAATTTCGCCTAAAAAAAAACCGAGATAATTTGTAATCTGACTGTGATTTGTTGGGCTAACAGTTGAATTTTTACATTAAAAAATTGCAAAGCTTCAACTGAGGGACAAATGAAACACTCGGACTTGGGCTTACACTTTAAAAATTCCACCAACATTAGCAAAGAAACAATGACGTCATATTAATTCACATTAGTACCATGGTCCAAAATATGCTTTCTATCACACTTCTGTTCTTGATGAAGACAACAGTAGACAGATGTTGCCTGATGTCTGGATAGTGCTGAATGTGACAAAACCAGTGAGACACATTAAGGTATTTCTCCTTTTCTTGAACTTGAGTCAGGTCAACTATAAAGCGATGAAGCCAGTAATATAGTAGGATGTCCGCCAGCGTAATGCTATATGTCCTGCCAGGTAGACTTTATCTTCAAGATAGGAATTAAGATCCTTCAGCAGAGCGTGGGCATCTTCTTTACTGGAGTGTCCGTCTACTCGAGTGACCCTGAACTCTAGCCACTGCTGAACACCTGCCTTTTCTTCTGCAGTGCTCTCCAGCAAGTGTTCCTTCTTGGCTTGCTTGACTAGATGGGTCGTGATGGTACTCAATCCCATTAGACTTGGACCATTGTTTGTAGAACTGGAATCTGCTGCTTGCCCTGGGAGCTGTACTTATTCCCCGGCCTCAGTCGGAGAGACTTCTCCAGCAGCCTCAGCTTCGTGGCCGCCGCCATCTTCCGGCCCAGCTCCTGAGGGTGGCACAGTGTTCCATTTTTAAGAGAGGTGGGAGGAGAAGGAAGCAACAGCAAGCAGGACCAGGCAAAACTGGAGGGAGCCACCATCTCCCAAGAGTTAAGGAGGAAGCAACCGGCCTTGGGTAATTTGAGAAGTTACATAGAGAGAGGTCTGATAAGAGTCACTGATGGTCCATTTCAAGAACAGTTTGGTAAATTAGCAGAGGTAAAAGCCGGAATGTGCTGGGTAACTTAAGGAACAAGTAGGAGATAAAATTTAGTTTCTCCAGGAAAGGTTGAGTTAGTTTTAAGTTAGGAACAGTGAAAGCATGAGGATACTGAGAAGTGAGGGCTAGCTGGGGTGGAGGGAGGTAAAGGAAAGGAGAGAGCGAAAACAAAGTCCTTCGGATCACTACCGGGCTCTTTTATGACTTCTGTTGTAAGCTACCCCAGAACTAGTCTCAGTTAGCTCATTTCACCCTCACCCCTTCTGCACTATGCACATACTTAAGAGAATTTGTCATCAGATGCAGTCTATTAGTGTGCCCTCTGTTGAAAGTTGAAGAATACCCAGGATGAGAGATCTGCCCCATCCTTTCAGCTCTTCCTGGAGATATCTGTGGTCCAATAGGAATAGGGTTTTATTGGCTGTGGGGCAATAGAAAATTTTCTTCTTTTGGCAGGTCTCGTGTAGCCCAGGCTAGGCATTAACTAACTAACTAGCTAACTAACTAAACCGGCCAACCAAACAACTAACTCTACTAGCTTGTGTAGTTAAGGACGACCTGACACTTCTGACCTTCCTGCTTGTAATTCCCAAGTGCTAGCACTACAGCCAACACACTCAGTTATGGTGATGGGGACTGTGTCCCAGGCAGGCTCTAACCTACGCAGGTAACTGGACACGTACAGATTTTGTTTCTATAAAGAATGTAAGAAAGTAAAAGAATAAAGATTTTTTATTCTGTTTTACAGCTCTGCTTAAAAAATATGCTCAGCTTCTTGAAGAAAAAACAGTTATGAAAGAACTGTATTATACTGAATTGGAGTGTACAAAATGGCATCCACTCTCGGAAGGTAAAACTTAATGTGCCTAGAATCGGCATTCCCAACTAGGTTTTCAGGTAGCTCCGTTGGCAAAGGGCACTATGGGATTATGACGTCATCCATGAACTCGCTACAGCTGCCCGTGCAGTTCTTTTTGAAGGTTTCCAATTAGGCATGATTGGAATGTGTAGCTGTCTAGTATCAAAAAAAAAAAAAAAAAAAAGTTTCAGGGAGAACCAATATAGGATCGAGTTGAATTTTATTGGAAACTGAAAAGAGCTTCTGGAAAATGAAGCAGATCTGACGGCAAGCAACTCCACGGAGTCCTGTTCCAGTGTGTGTGTCTAAGATTTTATTTTTAATTTAAAATACGTTATATGAACGTGTTTCTCTGTGGGTTTGTATGAGTGTAGTGCCTGCAGAGGCCAGAAGAGGGTGTCAGATCTCCTGGAGCTGGAGGTATATGGTGTTGTGAGCCACAGGTCATGGGTGCTGGGAACTGAACTCCAGTCCTCTGCAAGGGCAGGACACACTATTAAGCACTGAGCCGTTTCTGTAGCCCCTCAAGTGTGTGTGTGTGTGTGTGTGTGTGTGTGTGTGTGTGTGTGTGTGTGTGTGTGTGTGAGAGAGAGAGAGAGAGAGAGAGAGAGAGAGAGAGAGAGAGAATCATGTGGCTCTCTTGGCTACAGGGCCTACAAAGTGTAAGTTACTCAATATTTAAATAGAGAATTTGTTTTTCTAGTACACAAAGCTCGAAGGTGGGCTTATGGAGGCGTATTGCTTAGGTTTAGGAAAGAGAGGGGGGTGCTCACCACTTTGGCCCTGAGAAAGCAAAGTTTCTCTATTGTCTTCGACATCTGTAATTGAGATGTCTTTGGATTACACCCTATGGCCCCAAATAGGCACAGTTTATTGTCCTGGGCAAGATACCTTTTGAAAAACACTTGATGTTTCCCTCTGCCATTTGAGCTTGCCTGGGCTTCCTGCCTTTCTCCACAGCTCTCTCTTCACTCAGCCTTTGCCCTATAGAAGCCTGCAGTCTATTCAGGGAGCCCTTGCCTATGCCCGCATCTTGAAGAGTTTTCCTTATCTTTTTCTTGTAAAATTTCAGAGTTTTGGGTCTCTCAGTGAGGTGTTTAATCCATTTAGACTCTATTTTAGAGTCAGTTTTTATACAGAATGGTTATGCATCTAGCTTCATCTTTCTGCACATTGGTAGCTAGTTTTCTCTAAGACAATTTGTTGTAGAGGCTATTTTCTTCTGATATGGATTTTTTGGTGAAAAAAAAATAGATGTGTGGATTTATATTTGTGGTTCTCTTTTTCACTGACCAACATGTCTGCTTTTGTGTTGGCACCATGCTCTATGGTCTAGCTTGAAGTCAGGTATGGTGATACCTCCTCTTTTCTCAGGACCTTCCTCTCATCTTCCCTCCTCCCACTCTTTTCAGAGAAGGGTTGGTCTCCCCCGGAAATTGGCTGGCTTTGGTATATCAAGTTGCAATAAGACAACACTCATCTTCTTCAATTGAGCCTGGACAAGGCAGCCCAGTTAGGGGAAAGGGATTCAAAGGCAAGCAGCAGGGTCAGAGTTAGCCCCTGCTCTGGTTCTTAGGGGTCCCGCATGAAGACCAATTTGCACATTTGTTACATATGTGTAAGGGGCCTAGTTATATCTCATGCATGCTCTCTTGTTGGTGGTTCAGTCTCTGTGAGCCCCTGTGAACCCAAGTTAGTTGATTCTGTATGTTTTCTTGTGTATGCTTGACCTCTCTGGCTCCTTCTGGGACCTCAGTAGGACAAAGGGGCCCTGACATTGTGCCAATGGAAGTAGTCTTGGGTTTCTAGGGGCTCCTTGCTGCATCTGGGAGCAGTTGGGAGTTTCAGCTACCATATGGTTTCTGTACACAAGCAACTTTATTATGTGGCACTTACATTTCCTTCTTCTTATCCCAAAGACAAAGTCTGGAGCTGTTGCCCAAAGGACTGGAAGCCATTTGGTTCCCACTGCTATTTCCCTTCGATTGACTCGGTGGCATCTTGGAATGAGAGTGAGGAGAACTGCTCCAGCATGGGTGCTCATCTGCTGGTGATCCACAGCCAGGAAGAGCAGGTGCATCCTGGGAGAGAGTGGGGCCTGGGCCAGGCCTACTGTCTGCCTCTTTTTACCAAGAGGGGGTTGTGTTAACATGGGTATTGGTGCTGTGGCAGAAGGCTTTCCATCAGATAGGCAGAAAGGTTGATTCAGCCTTTGTGTTCTACACCTGCTCCCACTTCTGTGGACCTAAACATCCTCCAGGGAACTGTGGCATCAGGCCAATACATGAGGATGGAGGGAAGAATGGGATGTTTCTGCTTGAAAGGCCAGTTTGTGACTTCAGCACTCTAAGGCTTCCTATAGTACCAAGAGCAAATCAGGAGTCACAACCAACCATCAGAAACAAAATATCCAAAGCTATGAATGGAGAATGATTAAAACTAAGTGTGTAAAATTCTCTCATACACAACTTTCAGGAATGGTGTTGAGGAAAAGACCGGAGTGAGTCTGAGATGAAAATTCATTATGATCATGATCAGGGATTGTTTCCTGTTGTTAGAAATAAAAATGAAATTCCCAACCATTCTTTTTTACCAATAAAGACTCAAGATCCAGATGCTGGGGTGAAAACCTGCTAGCTCAGAGAGGCAGAGAAAGTAACCACCTTCCTTCCATCTCAGCTCAGGTCTGGATGGAAAAAACCCAAAAGGCTCACTAGTACAACTGCCAGCCTAGGAGGAAAAGGCCAAAAAACCCAAGGCTGAAGACTTGCTAGCTCAAAGCCCAAAAAGTCAGGGAGCTGAGGAAGTGAAGCCTAAGCTAAAGCCAGAGCTTGGGCTAAAAAGCCCTTTCTTCTCCACACTATCTTAAGTACCCCTCAACTCAAAGTCCCTCCCTGTCAGCTGGTTTCTTGATTTGCCTCTTGACCTAGAGTTAACTTTATTAAATCCTGTGTACAGAAAGCTCTTGGATTAAAGGTGTGTGCTAGGGCTGAGCCACACCATAATCACCTATTTACAATAAATAAAAAGTTTTTGGATTAAAGTTGTGTTTTACAGTTCACAATTTCAGGGTTCACAATGGGATTGTAAGACCTGGGGTCTCACAGCTCAGGAGTTCAAGATCGTGCCCTTCCCAGAAACTCCCCCAGACCAAGACTCATTGCAAAAGCAAGAGGTTTAACCATTGCACAATGGGGTCACCCCTGCTGGTCAGCAAAGAGTGGCACCAGGAGACAAAGGCCTTTAGGTTTTTAAAAGAAAAATTGTGGGAAATTTGAAGTTGCAGTTTTGGCAATTTAGGATTGGATGAGGAAGCTATAAAGTAAGGTAATTGGTTAGTCTTAGGTGCTCAAGCTTGGCCAGTCCTGCCAAGTGTGGATGCAGCTGCAATTGAAGGTGGGGGTGGTTAGCTCATCCTTGAAGATTAGGGGCTGCAGACTTTTGGCTGAAGGTCAAAAGCTACTCAGAAGAAGTCTAGGTTCGTTGCTAAGAAATGCTATCTCAAAGACAAGGGTCTGGTCCTTCTTTTGCTGAGTGAAGGTCTTTGCTTGCTTGCCTTTTTTAATATCTGTCCTCACAGATAGGGTCACATTCCTCCATTCTCTGGAAAGGTACTAAGAGGCTTTAGCTTAACCTGGACCTAAAACTCAAAACTATAGGCTTTAGAAGACATATAAGTTACAAAGTTAGTCTAACCCTTTCAGGATCAAATATCCTGCATCACTTTCCAGTATCATGAAAATGACTTTGACTGCGTCATGGTCATCCAGAGAAGACGTGCACTCTTGGGGGTGTGTGGCTCCTCTCTTTGAAAACTGAAAACTGTTTAAGGGCCTAGAGAGATTAACTAGGTGTAAAAGCACCTTTCATTTGTTAGATGTAATTGTTGTCTTGGAGGCTCCATCTGCTAACCTAACCTAGTCCTGGAAGCTTCTAGCCTCCATACAATCTTATTTAAGCCTAGAATGTTTTCAGCCTCTGAAACTTACTGCTGAATAAACTCCCCTTTTCTAGTTCTTTCCAAGCTGTGGCTGGTTTATTCAACTTAGCTGTTCTGGCTCAAGCCCCTCTCCAAGCTGACTGATTGAATCTGGCTTCTCTCAGTTTCTCACTGAATTGCTCTGCTTGTACTCAAACTTACTCTAGCAATTTGTTCTAATCTTCTGGCTCCTTCTCATTCTCTGGCCTATTCTGTCTTCTCCTGTGTCTAGCTTGTTCTCCCTTCAACCTCTTTCTGTAAAACTCCTGGTAAAAACTGCCTCTGAATTCCATGAGCTGAACTGCCACAAACTCAACTTCATGGCACAGTCTCTCAACTCACTCTCAAAAGGAACTGCCTGAACAGATCTGCCTAGAACTCAGATATCTGCAGGCCCCTGTCTCCTAAATGCTGGGATCAGAGGTGTGTACCATGATGCCTGGTCTTAAGCTTTTCTTTACCTAAAACTTGCACTATACCAGGCTGGCCTTGACCTCTGAGATCTGCTTGCCTCTGTTTCCTGGGATTAAAGGCATGTCTGTATTCCAGCTAGATCACATAGGCCTAGAGAGTCTTTGGATGTGATCTCTTGCCAGAGCAGCCATGTTGTGAAAAATAAAATTCCTCTGCGACTAGATTGTATTATTATGTATGTGCATATGTGCATTATATTGCGCTCTATAATTTTGTATAATTAAAATAATTTTTAAAAGATCATACAAAAAGTCTATAATAGAAAAAGAAGTACTCAATCCAGGCTGAAAGCTGAATCTTTCTTTCCTCCTAGGATTTCATCACCAGGATCCTGGACACTGGTGCTGGTTATTTTATAGGGCTGCAGGATCCAGGCCATGGACAGTGGCGATGGGTTGATGGGACACCATACAATGAGAGTGCCACGTGAGTCTAGAGTCGCTTAGAGGAGTCCTGGGTCCTGTACATGAGGAGAATTTAGATTGTTCCAGCTTCAGTTATAAATCTAAAATAGCTCACTCCTGGTGTAACTCCGGGGAATGGAGTTACTTTTAGTCCCCCATTTACTCATCACAGGAGTCCTGTGAGACACATGTTACTGCTACTTCCACTAGGGATGAGGGAGTTGAGTTTGAAGAGTGTGTGTGGGTGTCCAAGGAGCGCATAAGCTGGTGCTGGATGCCTTGGAACTGGGGTTACAGATGGTGTGACCTTGCCGATATGGGTGTTGGAACGGAATCTCATGTTTTCTAGAAAAGCAGCAAGCTCTCTTAATGTCTGAGCCATCTCTCCAGCCATCATTTATACCTTTCTAAGAAAAATTCATGTCAAGATCGTAACTGATTGTTTTCATAAATCAAAAGCCCTCAATCTGATATTGCAGTATTTCATATTTATGTAATTATTTAAAAACTCTTAGTACCTTAGTATGTTGCCTTATTCTGTCCTAATAGGTTGTGAGAAATATGTCATGATATTATTGTCTTTCTCAGTTTTCTGAGAAGAAAACTAGGAATCCAGGTCAATTACTTGTACTAGATGACAGGAATAAGTAGATTATCTAGTATTTTAACTAGTTCTGAAGTCTCTAAAACAATTTCATTGTAAAATGAAGAAAAAACCAACTTCATTAAAACATAAGAATAAGAAGAGAACCTTTCCGCATAAAATAAGCATCATTAATTGGCTGTCTCCTGGTACCAATACCTAGGGATGAAGAAGCAGTAGCCTCCGAGGTGTGTGCTGGGAGAACTTTTAAGAATCACACTGATATTGCATTGAGTGCTGTAGGTCTTGTTATCAAGGGAAATGTCAGATGTGGGTGATGGAGAGTGCTTGATTTGTTCATACCTGAATCTGATTTCCACAAATTCCAACCTCATCCTCAGGCTTGGTTACCCTTGCTTTCTCTTTTCAAACATTATTGTAGGACACACCCTGATGCTCTTTTCTCCATTCCAGATTCTGGCATGAAGGTGAGCCCAACAATCCGAAGGAGCAATGTGTTACAATAAATTATCGGAAACCTGTATGGGGCTGGAATGACATCCCTTGCAGTGATAAACAGCAGTCAGTTTGTCAGGCGAAGAAAGTGTACTTATGAGTCAAGCATCCTCCGTGGACATGCAACTGCACTGTTACCCAGCATCACAAAGACACCTGGGAATTTCTTCATGTGGAAGACACGTTCATAGAGTTTGAAGTAGGGACATATGATAATACTGGTATATATATATATACCTCCTTTTCATTCATCCTTCTTTTATATAATGAGAATTTTTTCATGTACCAGAGGTTGCACAGGAGAGACTTTGTGCATATGTGGAAGCACACAAGCCTCTCTGTCCATTCCCAGATTCCCAAAGTCTTATTTGCTGATAGTGCCCTCCTCCTCCTCTCTCTCTCTTTCTCTCTCTGTCTTTGCCTTTATTGATGTGTAATTGACAAATAAATCATGCATTCTTATTTTATAGTGTCTTGACTTGATAAGTAAATGTATTGTGCAGCGGCTACCACAATTAGGTTGATAACATCCTTGATTATCTACTACAGGTGCATGTTTGTTTATTTGTGTGTGTGTGTGTGTGTGTGTGTGTGTGTGTGTGTTTGGGTATGTGTGTGGTGTTAGAACATTTAAGATCTTGTTGAGCAAATTCAGACACAGGGTGATACTGTTACCTATTGTCACTTTGATCCTCGGTACTTACTCATATTTTCTCTGCCAGTTTGTGCCCCCTTCCACCACCATTTTCTCATGTCTCCCAGTACCTATGCTCTCAGAAACCATTCAAGAACTTGGTCTCCATGGCTAGGCAGAATCTATGGGTGCTGTGAGGCTGACATAGGCCTCTACTGGGTGGCTGATCCTGGACTGGGTGAACTACATCAACAGCAAGTTGAAGAAGATAGAACCTCCTACCTGTCCCTCGAGTGATTCTTGGTGTCCCACCTTGGTGCCTGCCACATTAGGGCCAGTCTTTGCCCTGTGGATGGATGTCCATCCAATATTTCAGCACCAAACAGCATTATCGCTCTTAGAAAATTTAACAACTATTTTCTGATATTATGTGTGATCTTGCCTGTCTTTCCTCAGTTGTCCCTAAAATGTTTCTTGGGCTGTTCTAATAAGCCATGACCAAAAGTATATTCTTTACTAATTAAAATTATTCTAAAGTTCAGGTCATGCCTCCACAAGACAGTCTTCATTTCAGAGTCAAGCCACAAGCTCAGGAGTTCCCAAGCACTTATAACCCACTGTGGGCAGATTTTGAGGATCCCATGATACCTGTAGGATTTATAAGTTGCTAGGATGACCCCCTGCACTAATGATTATGTTCTATTCGGATTACAGTTTTATTACACTGAAAGATACAAATCAGAACTAAAGGGAGAGACAGGGAGGGTAAGTCTAGGGGGGTCTCTAGTACAGAACTGCCATTGACCCCCATCTGTGCATCTCCTAAAGATTTAATGAGAGGCAATATACTGACTGCGCCAACCAGGGGGCTCTCACCTGAGCTCCGAAGCTCATGGCTTTATGGGGTCCATTCTGTAGGTGTGAGTGGTTGCCTGAGAATGAGAGTGAACTCAAAGCAGCACTTCCCTGCCAGGGTGGACATCTCACGGCTCAAAGGCTCAACACTTTTAATCACATGGCTAGTGTTTCTGAAATGCTGAGCTCCCAACAAGAATCATCTTGTTAGCATCAAGTATGAGGGAACTGAGCAGCATAAACCTTCATTGTCTACCAGGATAAAACAGACTTTCCAATAGTTTCAGGAATCCCAAAGAATTAGAGAGGCAACGTCCAATGAACTGGGTAAAAGTCCATAGAAAGTCTTTCTTTGACAGGTCAACTGTCAAATGATGTAAATGCAGATGTATGTGAACAGGAAAATGTACATCATTACCTTCGCACGTACTCCCATAGGGCTTCATGACAGACCCCGTGGTGTACATGACACACAGCCAAGACTAAATCCATATGATTCTAGCCTACTTCAATATCAGGAATAATAAAGCACAAGTTTTAGTATTTTATGTTTGTGTTACAATGGTTCCTCTCTGTGCCCATAGGACTAATGTTCCATTTTGAAGCCCAATAACAAGACATCTCCTGAGTACACAATATAAAGGGATTAGGTGTAGATGCTCTGATAGTTCCCAGGTACTTATATACTCCCCTGTAAATGGATTCTGTTTCAATACCTTTGACACATTTTCCTTTATAGAGAGTATGTTTTCAACCCCAACGGACAGGTGTGTCCAGGTGACTTTCTTTGGTCAATTGAATGCTATGAAGCATGGTGGCATGCAGGCAGACATAGTGCTGGAGTAGGAGCTGAGAATCATACATCTTGATCTACAGGCAGTAGGAGGAGACTGTGTGCCACACTGGGCATAGCTTGAGCATATGAGACCTCAAAGACCAACTCCACAGTGATACACTTCCTCCAACAAGGCCACACCTCCTAATAGTGCCCCTCCCAATGGGCCAAGCATTCAACATATGAATCTGTGGGGGCCATTCCTATGGACACCACAGCAGATGACAGGCCAGAGTAGGCCCTATTCCAAAGACTAGTTGGCAACACAAACTAGACTTGACAGAGAAAAGAAAAAGAAAGAAAGATGAAATCTCAAAGTTAGGTAGGGAGAGATGGGAAGGTGGAGTGTTTATGAGAGTTGGTAGAGGAGTGAATATACATTATATGGGATTCTTGAAGAATTAACAAATAAAACTATTATTAAAATTGATCTCCAAAAGGAGATTTTTGTTAGGTAGGGCAGTACCTCACATAATCTCAGCTTTAAATGCTAAGACAGAAGAACACTGAGTTAAGAGTCTAGCCTGGGCTACCTAATGAAAACTTGTTTCAAAAGAGCCACAAAGAAAGAAAAGGAAAGTCACAGCTAGGAGTCAATCTGCATAATCCCACCATCCAGGAGGCTGAGGCAGGAGGATGGTGAGTTCAAGGGTGGCCTGGGTTATATAGCCAGACTGTCTTAAAAACAAACAAACAAACAAACAAACAAACAAACAAACAAACACAATACAACTAAATAAAATGATCATATGCCTTCCTTTGCCTTTTGCTGTGGACAGGTGTGGGCCAGGAACTCATGCTCATGTTGGTAGCAGTGTAAGGCTGACAGGAGGTTTTATCCCATGAGGCCGCAGGAACCTGCAGGCTCAGAGCTCAGTCAAGTTCAGGCTTTTCAAATTGTGAGATGTCTATATGTGGGACTAGTTTGGGGGCAGCCGGTAGGATTGGGACAGAGATGTCACACTGCCGAGTGTGTTTGGAGGCCTGGCCAACCTTTTTTTCCCCTTTTCTTTACCATTTTCCTATTTATTAATTTATTCACTTCATATCCTGATAGCAGTCCCCTCCCTCTTTTCCTCCCAGTCCCACCCTGCCACCCTCTTCTCTTTTCTCCCCTCCCTTTCTCCTAAGAAAAGAGGTGTCCCCTCTCAAACACCTGAACCAACTGACCCCAGCCCATCCATTCACAACAGGACTAAGCGCATCCTCTTCCACTGAGGCAAAACAAGGCAGCCCAGCTAGAGGAAAGTGATCCTGTGTTTCTTTGAGGGATTTAGTTCTTTTCTCCTCAAAGGCCGCTGTCATCTTCATAAGATTAGATTTAGGATTGTTTTCTCTTATTCCAGGTGTAGTAGAATATCCAGGGCCTGTAGTAGTAGGAGAGCTGGGTTCTGGTGGTGCCGCACTGCCCGGGCTTTGTTGACTGTGTTCTTATGCTGGCCTTTAGCCATCTGATTATCCCTGGTGTTGCCAGGTGGCCTGGAGGATCCTGATGGCTGCTGCCCCTGGAATTGCTGTTATAACTGGAGCAAAGGAACGGACTCAAAGACCTCACAGCTGTTGGGTTTGCCCTGGTAGTCCTTGATCATCCTGGCCGTCCTCAAACAGTAAATGTCAGTGTGGGAGGAATCACAGCAATCCATGAACTAGTGAAGTATTTCAAAAGTTCCAGAAGAGGGTTATAACTTATCACAAGACGTGTTGAAGTTGGCCTTTCTACAGGAAAGGGGCCAAAGGGTCATGGGAGGAACCTGGAGAATACTTTGAAACCTACTCCCTGTGGGCATTCTGTCTGTAGTCTACATTCTGGCTGAAGTGCATTCTAGCTGCTGCACTTCATCTGTGACTCAAGTCTTCTAGACAGCCAGCAGTGAGCTAAGGTCCGGGTATCCATCACCTGTCTCTTGGCAAGAAAGGAGAGATGAGACACATCTTAGCATTTGGAAGACGTGAGGGCACCCATGCAAAGGGTTGACTCCATACTGGCTTGGGCTTCAGAGACACAGAGGGTTGAAAGGAGTTTCCTTGCAGAAGGTAGACCATGCATGGATAGGAGTGTGTATATGGTGGAAAGTTCAGTGTGGGATATTTGTGCCTAGTAAGGTAAGGAGAGCATCCTTGTCTGGTTGTGGATGACCTGGCATTGGAGGTTAGCAGCCAAGCAGGAAGTGGGGAGAGTCTATGTAGAAGGCAGAGCTGAATGGGTTTCAGAGACTTGCAGTGTAAGGATGCTGTCTACCTGGTGGGATAGCTCTGTGTGGCCATGCAATACAGTCCATACTATGAGGGTTTCTGCCTATCAAGCTGGCCTTGGTGGATTGCTATATTCTCAGGGATTCTAACTGCTCAGGAGTTAGCACTAGGAGTCAGAGCACAAGTTGGGTGAGGGAGGCTTTCCTTAGCCAGCATTTCAGAACTCCAGCAATGTGTCTGGCCCTTCGAGGAAATGTCCACCTAAAGGGAGGATGGCATCAGTTCAGGGGGTATTGGCTTGACATGAGGATTGGAACCCCAAAGAGACAGGCACCTTAGTGGATGTTGGGCATGCTTTGGGAGGAAGAAGAGCAGCATCCAAGAGATTATCACTTGAGAGCCTGAGATAGAGATACAGAACATAGACTTTTCACTCCCAGAAACAGACTTGAAATGCCAAAATTTGGGAAATAAAATGAACCATGTGGCACTACAGTGAAATGGGGACAATAGTGTGAACTCATGGTTTTGAGTATGTTTGGACACAAAAGCAAGAGAAATCCTAGAAACACAAACTGTTTGTGTTTGTGTTTTTTTAATGCATGCATATGCTCTTTGCTTGTTATGTGTAGGAGTATGGGGGGTAGCTAGAGAAGATTCAAATAAAGGAACTATTTGGAAGAACTGAAGGCTGAGCCTGTGGCTATGAGCTGAAGAGTTCTGTGGCAGGGTCTCAAATGATCCCTTATTAACAACTGTTTTCAATTTCCCCTCCTGTAGGTTGTGATCGATTTGGTTCTCGCAACTGTTCCCAACAGTGCAGTGAGCATGCAGAGCCTGAGTTGAGGAGTGCAGGGATGCAGGGAAGGGAGGCGTACAGAGAGAGACAACCTCCCCACAGCTATGAACTAGGTCTGTTTCAGGATATGGCTGGCAGCAGAGTGAGTGGCGTGTCCCCATGAAGCTAGTTATGGACTGTAGCATAAGCAGAACACTCGCTGGGAGGAGCAGCTTCAGAAGAAACAGGGTGTGAGCTGCCCTTCCCCATGCTGGAGGCAGCTGAGTGAGAGCCCATACAGTGGTGAGTGCCAATGACCCTCTGGAGTGTGGTATCAGAATTTGCCTGTTCAGCCCAAAGTCAATGTCTTGCCGTAAGTGTTTGCTCACTGTCTGGTTTTCCTGAAATCTCATTTGCACGTGCATGGTTTTCTGTTTGTTGCAAAGTGTCTTAAGACAGAGTTCTCTAATAGCATGGTTCCTCTTTTCTTCTTCTTCCTAATTTTTTCCTTCCTCTTTTGAGTTCCTGCTTCACAGTACTTGCATCCCATGCTGAGTAGCTTTGAGGGCTACAATTTTTATTTTGAAGAGGTTACATCCCTTGCATGGCCTGAGCGATTTCAAGCTGTGGGTTCTCATTCTCATGTGGTTTATCCCAGTGGGACCGGCCTCTTCTCTCTTACAACCATGTGATCTGAGAACTTATCACAGTGTGTGGTACTCATGCACTACAAGCTTTAGAGGAACGAGGAGGTGAGCTTTCTGAGGGAAGAAGGTCTCTTTTTGATATGGCTTCAGAAATTACTTATGCGGAAGTGAAGATCAAGAATGCATCCAACTCCTCTGGCACCCACTCAGATTCTTCTGCAGGTAAAAAAAAACCCAAAACAACAACAACAACAACAACAACAAAACCAAACACCTTTCTGTACTTAACTTTGGGTGGTGTTTGTTACTGATTCTCCAAGTGCTTGGATCTGAGATTTTACGGAAATCTCTGTCGTTTGAGTTTGTACATTGACTGGAAGAGCTGTGGGGTTGTATGATGGGATGGAAAAAGCTTTCTTGGCGTGGTTTTTGCTCTTGCCGTTTACAGAAACTATAGCTTGTATTTTGATGCCTTTCTTTCTTAATATAAATGAACATAAGTGCAATTTTTTTCTGAAAATGAAATCATACTGTTTAATAGTGAGGTTTCCCCTCTTTTCGGGAAACCTCTTTGCTTGACAGTATATTGTAACATCATGAAAACAGTTTCTGCGTTTGAAGCTTTTATCTTGAAAGAACTTTTGTTTTCTTTTATACTGTAGGTCAAAGCAGAACCTCTCACTTGATTGACAGTTGCTCTGTCACTAAACTATACCTTCATCCAGGAAACAGTTCCCAGCCATGAGACAGTGACTAGCAGGCTGGCCTTATGCTAAAGAGTGGAATATGATTAAAATGTTTATCTCTTAATGTATGTGTTTGAACAGTCTGGAAGTTATTTGAATATCTAGTGCTTTAACCATAGTGAAGAACATAAAAAATCCCCTCAGTGACATGAAAATGTATTTACAGTTCTGATTAAAAGGCAAGTCATACCTCTTCCCCCTGAGTGGGGACCAGCCTTGCCAGCCCACAGAGGAAGACAAGGCAGCCAGTCCTGATGAGATTTGATAAGCTAGCGTCAGATGGAAGGGGAGGAGGACCTCCACTCTCAGTGGACTTGGAGAGGGGCATGGGAGGAGATGAGGAAGGGAGGGTGGGATTAAGAGGGAATGAGGAAGGAGGCTACAGCTGGGATTGAAAGTGAATAGACTGTAATTAATATAAAAAATAAAAATTTAAATAAAAAAAAAGAAAAAATCACCCATGGCAGGTGGGGCGGGAAGGAAGGGAAGTCACAGGCCAGATGGCAGTATTCATGCTGTGTAACCATGTGGGAAAACATATTATATGCACATACTTTAACATTTGCTGAAAGGGCCAGTTGTGGTCTAATTCCAGCACTCTGAGGGCAGAAACAGAAGGATCACTGAGGATTTGAGGCTGGTCTGGTCTACATCAGATCATCCAGGACTAGGTCATTACACCTCTACCACCAAACCAAACCAAACCAAACAAAAAAATCCAACTTCCTGAAAGGATATGATTGAAGTGGTTTTGTGAATATGTATTCAATTTATTCTTTTCAGATCTCAAAATATTAACACTATTTATTACAGCAGTGTAAGTTTGTGGTTTATATATTTTGTAATGCTTTTACAATGGGCATTACGTGTCTGTTATTTTAAGTGTTCATACTGCCAGTAATATGTGTCCTGGAGGAAAAAAGAGAAAAGGTGGGAGGAGAAGAAGATGGAACTTATTACTCATGAAATGAATGTGTTTCTCCTTCCAGCTCCCAAAGGGAAACCTGCCCATCATCAAAGTAAGCCTGGTTCCCCCTTGCTGCTTTTTAAATCACTGATGGTACTTTTTCTGCTGTTGGCAATCTTATTCCTAGTTGCTTTTATCAGTAAGTATCCAAAATGAATCCTTAGGCCATGTCTGCCTTAGATGAAGAGAGTAGGCATTTAAGGAAATATGAAGAAGAAATCTTGTTTGGAGAAAATAATTCAAGGGATTCCATTGTGCCTTTCACTTTTTCTTGGATTTACTTTGGGGAAAATGGAATCCATTCTTACTAGAGACAGTGAAGAGCATTTATGAGTGTCTGTGTGGGGTTGTGGAGTGAACTCTGTGGGATGCTGTCTTTAATGGACCAGGAGGTCAAACCTACGAGTTCTCATTGACATTGCGAAGTCTAAAAGGTGTATGTGTACACAAGCTCAATGTGTAGACAAGCTGTATGTGGGCACAAGCTGTATGTGTGTAGGCTCTTCCATCCTGGTGCAAGCATGTGGAGAAGAAGGACCTAGGAAAAAAAATTATCCAAGAAGTGTTCTTCAGCTAATTCCTAGTTACTTCTGTCCAGCCAAGGATTATCCAAAACCTAGATAGATACCAACTGAGCAAAACAGTCAGTTTCTCTTGATCAAAGAATGAGAATTTATGAAAAATTTAAAATGCATGAGAACTGGTATGTTTAGGATATTTTACTCATTCATTTGATCACCCCGAATAAAGTAATAGCCATTTACTGTATGTCAGACAGCGTGTCAGACAAAGTCCAGGGAGAACACAGACTCTATTCTCAAGAAATTTAGAGGAAGGTCAAGGAATCAGTGTCAGCCAGGTGCAATGGCACTCTGCTACTATCCCAGCTATTCAGGGTGTTGAGATAGGAGGACAGTGTTGGAAAAGAACAAAGGAAAGAAAATGAACTGGTGTCTGCAACATTGTCCAGGAGGTCTTGTACTAAGACAGATTTCTTAGAAGAGGAAACATCTAGAATGTGGTTACCAAGAATGTCCCAGAGGTGAAACAGAAGCATGAGTGGCTGAAACAGGGTATGTGATGTCCCCCATTATGAACAACATAATTACTATTCTCCTAAATAGTAGTTTCTATCAAGTTGGTTTTCTATTTAGTACATGAGTATAAATTTAATGAGCTAAGAAAACTTATCTATCCTCTGATTCTGTGCTTTGGCAATTTATGCTGATTTCCACTGAGAGGCTCCTCTGGTTCTAGCTGAACTTAGACAACTATATGTGGTCAGTTACCAATACAGGCAATTCTGTGTCCAAGGAAGAAGAGGCCAGCTGGAATGACTAAGAGTACGACATGCCTTTATAAGATTCCTTAGGATTCCCTGGGCCTGTTTGCATGGCAGCTCGCAGACTTCCAAGATTGAGGGTGACCATGAGCCAGGTCTCCCCCAAAATATAGCTTGATACAGATCAGGGCTGATTTTGACATTCTCTTGACTGGAAGACTTCTCTTGACACAGAAGACTTCACTTTTTGTGTTTTAAACTGGGAATGTTGCAAAACCACATTGCCGTGGTGCATTGGCACAGACGTTAAAAACTGTGGTCATTTTTGCAAAGCGTCATAGCCATGGAGAACTATTGCAACATTTCAAATAGCGAGTTGATGGAGCCAAATTTAGGTTGTAGTTGGTGTATTTACAGTCCTCTGAATGTAGAATCATTAGGACAAAGAGAGAAATGAGAGGTCTAATTTATAAACTGAGATAAGTGTCTGGACAACATGAGAGGAGCAGCTTTGAGTGGTAAAGAGTATAGGGCCAAGGAAATAGATTCTTGATGAGTGTTGAGGTCTAGGGTCCAAGAAGTAAAAATGTAACCTTGGTATTCTGATGACGTAAAGTCAGAGACCATGACGTTATTCAAAGAGGGGTGGAGAGAAGGAGAAGGAATTATAAAATACAACAAGAAGTGATGGCAAGAAGGTGAGGCAAAGCCAGGACAGAGCAATGTCTCAGGAGCTGAGGAGGAAGAGAACTGGGCTCAACTCCAATAGCAAGATGGTTAATACGTGCCCTGGAATATTGCTGATGATCCACCTCAAAATTGGTGTTAGTGAAACAGAGGAAGCAAAACTGGTGGGGTGAGCAGGACAAAGGCATAGGGAGGAAGGTGAAGAAATTCAGTTCTAGAGGGAGTCAGTTAAAACGGGGTGAGTGAGAATGTGGTAAGTCAGTGGAAGTGAAGAGAGCTTTAGGGAGAAAACAATGTCCTAGATGCATTTAAAAAATTTCACTCTCTAAAATAACCCAGGGCTACTCAGAATTAGCTAATGCCTTTTTCTTCCATAGCGAAGGCAGTTTACATTCTTAAATGTGAGTCTATCTCTGTTTCATCTCCCGCAAGAGTTAGCATTTTCATCTTACATTAAGCATTGAAAGGTATGGCTAACTCCATTTAGAGTCGTGACAACTGGGCCCATCCTGCCTTTTAAATTACTCATCTTTCTATGCATTCTGAAAGTATCTGTGGTCTCAAACTAGGGGCCTGAGGAGTCCATTGATTGTGGGGTAAAGGGAATCATAGTAAGGCTCTGTCCACTTAGGTAAACTAGCTGTGGCAGATCTTTGTACCACTAAGTAGAAAATAGACATCCATCATTCTATCATGGAAATTAGTGGTTCTGGTTCTGTTTTCTTACAGTTTACTTTCAAAAGTACTCTCAACTTCTTGAAGACAAAAAAGCTACAAAATATGAAATAATTCCCAATGAATTGAGCTGCATGAAAAACAGTTCACTTATGGATGGTAAGAATGTACCTAAGAATTTTTTGCTGGCTGTAGAGTGTAATGGTTCCTCAGAAACCTCTGTTTCTTTCTTTCTTTCTTTCTTTCTTTCTTTCTTTCTTTCTTTCTTTCTTTCTTTCTTTCTTTCTTTCTTTCTCTCTTTCTCTCTTTCTTTCTCCCTTCCTCCCTCTCTCCCTCCCTTCCTTTGTTCCTTCCTTCTTTCCTTTCTCTCTTTCCCCTCCCTGTTCTATCTCTTCCTTTCTCCTCCTTTCTCTTTCCCTCTCTCCTCTCTCTCTCTTTCTTTTTTAATATAGTCTTCTCTTATGCATTGTATCCTGACTGCAGTTTCCCCTCTACCTACTCCTCCCAGTCCCACCTCTCAGATCCACTTCTCCTCCAGTTTCCTTCAAAAAAAGAGGAGAACTTCCAGGGATATCAACCAAACAAGGAATAACAAGTTACAATAAGATGGGCAGCTTGGTCTTCATGCGGGTTCCCTAGCAAATGGAGCGGGGGCTGTCTCTGACATGGACTCTGTTGCCTGCTTTTGGATCACTTCCCTCTAGCTAGGCTGCCTTGTCCTGCCTCAGTAGAAGAGGATGCACTTAGTCCTGATACGACTCCAAGTGCCTTGGGAGGTTGGAATCCCTACGAACCCTGCTTAGTTGATTCTGTGGGTTCTCCTGGTATCCTTGACCCGTTTGAGTCCTACAGTTCCTCCTCCTCCTTTTCCTCGGGGTTCTCCAAGCTCCTTCTAATGTTTGACTGTGCATCTGCTCCCATCAGTTGCTGAATGAAGCTCCTTTGATGACAATTGGGCTAGGCATCACTGTACGAGTATAGCAGACTATCATTAGGAATCATTTTATTGACTTTTTTTTCCAGTTGTGTTTGGCTCTGTACTAGGTCTCTGGTTTAACCAGTCTCTAATTCCTGGCCATCCAGGCAGTATTGGACATGGGCTTCCTCTTGTGGCTTGGGCCTCAAGTTGGACCAGCCATTGGCTGGCTACTCCCACAAGTTCTGTGCCATAATTACCCCAGCACATCTTGCAGTCAGAACAATTTGATTGTAAGTCAAAGTTTTGTGGTCGGGTTGGAGTCTCTATCCAAACACTAAAAGTCTTGCCTAGTTACAGAGGATGGCCATCTCAGGCTCCATATCACCCATTACTAGAAGTCTCCAGTTTAGCATGGTTTTAGCTTCCATGATACTTTCCTGAGGACCAAATAACTAAACTACTGAATCTTTTTCTTTACCAAGCACTTTTATGCATTTCATTTCAGTGAGCAGAATTATACCAACAAAAAGGATTGGCAGTAGTTGAGCTTGCTTTACACTCTTTTTTATTGGTTACATTTTGGGACATCTCGTATTTGGAGAAGATGCATTGTGATCACATGAGTCCTCTACTGTCCTCTTGTCCCCCTCCCACTTCCTCTTCTCAACTAGTCCCCACTCCTACACTCATGTCCCTCTCCTTTCCTCCATTTTCATTCCTTTCAAATTTCTTTTTTTTTTGAGTTTTATTTTTTTCTTATCAGTTACATTTTATTAACTCTGTATCCCAGCCATGTCCCGATCCCTCATTCCCTCCCAGTCCCTCCCTCCCTCCCTCATCTCCACCATGCCCCTTGCCAAGTCCACTAATAGGGGGGACCTCCTCCCCATTCATCTGATCCTGTTTTATCAGGTATCTTCAGGACTGGCTGCAAAGCTCTCCTCTGTGGCCTAACAGGACTGCTCCTCCCTTGGGGGGTGGGGAGGCCAAAGAGCCAGTCATTGAGTTCCTGTTAGAAACAGTCCTTGTTCCCCTCACTATGGGAAACCAATTGGTTACTGAGCTACCACAGGCTACATCTGAGCAGAGGTTCTAGGTTACATTCATACATGGTCCTTGGTTGCATGTCAGTCTCAGAAAAGACCCTGTGCCCAGATATATTTAGTCCTTGTGGAGCTCCTATCCTTTCCTCATCAGACTAACTCCCCTTCTTTCTTATGATTCCCTGTACTCTGCCAAAGGTTTGGTCATGAGTCTTTGCTTTGAAAACACTGCTAGTTAGAGTCTTTCAAGTGCGCTCAGTAGACTCCTGTCATATGTTCAATGCGCATCCCATCTGTCTAAGAAAGACTTTTATCATGAAGAGGTGTCGGATTTTGTCAAAGCCTTTTTCAGAATCTAATGAGATGATTGTGTGGCTTTTTCTTTCTTTCAGTTTGTTTATATGGTGGATTACATTGAGTGAGTTTCTTATGTCAAACCATCCCTGAATCTCTGGATGAAGCCTGCTTTATCATGGTGTATGATCTTTTTGATGTGCTCTTGGATTTGGTTTGCAAGTATTTTATTCAGTATTTTTGCATCCATGTTTATAATGGAAATTTGTGTATTATTCTTTTTGTTGAGTCTTTGTGTGGTTTAGCTATCACAGTGGCTGTGGCTTTACAAAATGAATTTTTCAATGTTTCTTCTGTACTATTTAGTGGAATAATTTGAGGAGTATTAGCATTAGCTCTTTTTTGAAAGTCTAGCAGAATTCTGTGCTAAATCACTCTAGCCCTTGTCTTTTTTTTGTGTGTGGGAGGAGGTTCTGAGACTTTTAAAGATTGCTTCTATTTGCTTAGAGATTATAGGTCTATTTAAATTGTTTATCTGACCTTGATTTTTCTTTGGTAAATGGTACTATCAAGAAAATTATCCATTTGTTTTAGATTTTACAATATTGTGGCATACAGATTTTATGACTTAATGATTTTTTTAATTTACCTAGTGTGTGTTGCTATGTTTCCCATTTCATTTCTGATTTTGTTAATTTGGATATTCTCTTTCTATCTTTTAGTTAGTTTAGATAAGGGTTTGTCTATTTTGCTGATTTTCTCCAAGAACCAAGTCTTTGTTTCATTGATTGTTTGTATTGTTCTCTTTGTTTCTATTTTATTGATTTAAGCCCTCAGTGTGGTTATTTCCTGCCATCAATTCTTCTTGGGTGTCCTTTCTTCTTTTTGTTCTAGAGCATCCACTGTGCTCTTAAGTAGCTAGTATGATTTCTCTTCTTCTTCTTCTTCTTCTTCTTCTTCTTCTTCTTCTTCTTCTTCTCCTTCTTCTTTTTTATGTAGGCACTTAGTGCTATGAACTTTCCTCTTAGCTGCACTTTTATTGTGTCCTGTAAGTTTGGGTATATTGTGCCTTCATTTTTTTTATTGACTTCTAGGAAGTCTTTAATTTCCTCCTTATTTCTGCTTTAACCCAGTAGTCATTCAGTAGAGAGTTGTTCAGTTTTCATGAGTTTGTAGGCTTTCTGTTGTTTCAAATCCAGAATCCTTTGCTCTCTATATGCACGGACACTATGAAAAGATGAAACCCAAGAATGATAGGAATAGAACAACAAGCAGAATCCCACTCAAAGACCTACAAATGTTTCCAACAAAATCACAGAAGAAAAATTTCCTAATCTAAAGAAGGAGATGCCTATAATTTTAAAAGAAGCACACAAAACATCAAATAGTTTGAACCAGAAAAAAGTCCCCTTACTATATAACAATCAAAATACTAACATACAGAACAAAGAGAATATTAAAATGAAGGAAAAAGGCCATGTAACATATAAAGACAAAGCTATAATAGTTACACTCAATTTCTCAATGGAGGCTCTAAAAGTCAGAAGAGCCTGGACAAATGCAATGCAGTCTCCAAGAGACCACAAATGTCAGCCCAGACTATTATACCCAGCAAATCCATCCTCTTAGTCTGTGTCTTTTTATTGGGAGATTGAGTCTATTCATATTGAGAGATATTAATGACAAATGGTTGTTAATTACTGTTATTTTCTTGTTGTTGCTGTCATTACTGTTGGTGTTGCTGGTGGTCGTGTGTGTGTATGTGTGTGTGTGTGTGTGTGTGTGTGTGTGTGTATGTTTTCTTCCTTTTTGGTTTTGCTGGTGTGAGATTATTTATTCCGTGTGTTTCCATGCGTATAGCAAACCTCTTTGGTTTGGATTTTTCTTTTGTAGGGCTGGATTTGTAGATAGATATTGTTTGAATTTGACTTTGTATAAAATGTGTGGTTTTCTCCATTTATGGTACCTGAAAGTTTTGCTGGGTATAGTAGGTGGAGCTGGTGTTTGTGGTCTTTTAGAGTCTGAAGTGTATCTGCCCAGGTCCTTTTGATTTTTAGAGTTTCAACTGAGAAATTGGCTATAATTGTTTTAGGCCTGTCTTTATATGTTACTTGCTTTTTTTCCTGTGCAGCTTTTAATATTCTCTCTTTGTTCTATATGTTTAATGTTCTGATTATTATGTGGCAAGAGTACCTTTTTTTTTTTTATTCAATCTATTTGGTGTTCTGTATGACTCTTATCCTTGACAGGCATCTCCTTCTTTAGGTTAGTAAAATTTTCCTTTATGATTTTGTTGAAAAAATTTTCTGGACCTTTGAGCTGGGATTATTCTCTTTGTTATATGCCTTTCATTCTTAGGTTTGGCCTTTTCATAGTTTTCCAGATACTCTGAATGTTTAATGTCAGGAATTTTTTTTAGAGTTAACATTTTCTTTGACTGAAGTATTTATTTATTTTGTCTTCAATGTCTGCGGTTATCTCTTTCATCTCTTGTATTCTGTTACTGATGCTTGTATCTGTAGATCCTATTTGTTTACCTTGATTTTCCATCTCCAGAATTCCCTCATTTTTGTTTCTTTTTTCTTTTGTTTCCATTTCCATTTTCAGGTCTTGAGCATTTTTGTTTGTTTCCTTCAACTGCTTGTTTTTCCTTCAGTTTCTTTAAGAAATTAATTACTTTCCTTCAGTTTTTTTGTTTGTTCTTTTCCTCAATTTCTTTAAGGGATTTATTGATTTCCTCTGTAAGGACCTCTATCATCTTCAAAAAGTTGGTTCTAAGGTCTTCTTTATGTTATTTAGCTGTGTTGAAATATTCAATATTCAGAGTTTGCTGGAGTAGGGTGCCTGGGCTCTGGTGGTGAGCCTTGGCTGTGATTATGTTCTTACCCTGGTGCCCAAGCCTTTGGTTTGGTGATTACAGGTCTCAGTGCCAATTTCTGAGTTTGTCTTTGTTTGGTGGGTGTTTTATTCCTTGGTTTCTGTTTCCTGTCTGGTCTTTTTCACCTGTGTGGTCTGTGGTTGAGCAGAGTGTCTCCACCTGAGTTTGAGAGCTGGATTTCTGGAGGCAGAAGTCCACCCAACTCTTGCCCTGGCTGGGAGCTGTGACAGAGTGATGAGGAGATGAGAGGATATGGGAGGTTGTGTCTCAGGTGCACTAAGAAACTGAAGGAGGTCCAAAGGTGACCAGTCTGTCTGGAATCCTGGCATGTGGTATGGCCTCTGGTCCAGTAGTGAGTCTCAGCCAGAGATTATTTACTGTTCTTCTGACTGGTGTGGTCTGAACTTGAGTAGGGGATAACCTCTGCAGTTGAGAACAGGGACAAGGCAAAACAGGATGTTTTGCAGGGAGGCATGGTGGAGAATTGTGTCTGTGGGAACTGAGGGAATGAGAGGCTTCTACAGTAGGGCCATCTACCTGTTCTTCTGGATGGCACTGCCTACATTTGAGCAGGGGATGTCCTATTCAATATTTCTAACAAATTCCCAGGTGGCATGAACTGAGAAGTAGGGTCCACATGTACATTTGCATTAGACCAGATAATCTGACATGTATGCCTCCATCTGTCTACAAGTACTTTTTATGAAATGGGTTCTATTATTCTTATATTTCTCTAACTTCTGCTTTTTTTTTTTCCAAACTCTGTCTGGACACTTGCCGTTTCTCATATGTATATGATTGGAAGAAAATTATGAAGTCCTGTATCATGAATATGAATTATTTAAAGATTTAATAGATTTCCTGAGAACATTTTTAAATTTATAAAAGATTTCACAAGATAATACAAAGATACTGTTCTAACCCCACATATACATACACTGTCCCTATATAAATAGCTTATATAAACAAACATGGTTGCTACAACTAGGAAGTGAATGCCGACATCAAAACTGATTAAAGCTCATGGTAATTAGGCTTTCATCTAAGACACCACATTGTATTTAGCCGTCACATCTCTTTAGTCTTCTCTTGGTTGGGTTAAGTTTTCAGAGGATCTTTGCTTTAAGTGATTCTGATTAGCAGTTTTGAGGATGACTGATCTGGTATATTATAGGCTATTTCTCTATTAAAATTTGAGCAATTATTTTTGAGGATGATGATGACAGGTGTGAAAAGCTAGTTTAATGACATTGGACACAGGGTCTAAACTATAAAAATCATTGTGGACTGTTGATATTGCCATCAGTTGATGGTCTACTTAAGGTAGGCCATTTAAAAGTGTACTTTTTTTATCATCTAAATTTTTTATTTTTTTAAAAAAATTCTCTTGTACAATACATCCCATCCATATCCTTCCCTCTCTTCCCTCCTGTAATTCCTTCCCCACTTCCCCAACCCCTAGATCCACTGCTTCCCTGTTTCCCTTCAGAAAAGAGCAGACATCCTCTGCTTATGGGACACTTTTCCTCATATTAGTTTGTCTGGGCTAGCCTTGATATGAGGGTTTATGCCTTGTCTTATTGCATTTTGCTATGCAGAGTTCAGTTGATGAAAATGTACCTTTTAAGGCTAACCATGTGGTATTGGATAACCAGTTAGGAGGCTCACCCATGAAGAAGATTAATTCTTCCTCTCTTGGCAGTTATTAATTGTCTATAGCACTTATAACAATAAAAATAGGCCATAAATTTGAGAGATAGGAGTTAACATGGCAGGAATTTGAGGGAAGAGAAGGAGATAGGAATGATATAATTATATTAATATTAATATATTATAAGATATATTAATATATACAAGATAATACAATATATAATATATTAATATAAAAAACCTGGTATATTTTCTCCATTTTTCACAATGTAATGTTTGGAAGAATGCTCCCTTATGGAGCCCACATATGACATGTATTGTTTAAATACGACATATATATTATGAAATTTTTTGGTTCTTAGTATGTTTAGTTCTATTCTTCAGAGATCCAGTTTTGCATTATATTCTCAGAGTCTGGGTGTTCTTTTTACTCTGTTTTTCTGGCTTTTCCTGGTAGCACTCGAGCAGGACAAAGAGGTCCTGACTTCAGTGCCATTGGAGGGGACATGGCTGCTTGGCACGTGAGAGGTGAGGGGCTCCTTGTTGTATCTGGAGAAGTGGGGAGTTGCAGCTTCCATGTGGTCTCTTTAAAGATGACTTCATTACATTGCACTTACATTGCCTTCTTCTCCCAAAGGCAAAGCCTGGAGCTGTTGCCCAAAGGATTGGAGGCCATTTGGTTCCAACTGCTACTTTGTTTCAACCAGCCCTGCTGCATCTTGGAACAAGAGTGAGGAGAACTGCTCCAGCGTGGGCGCTCATCTGCTGGTGATCCACAGCCAGGAAGAACAGGTGCATCCTGGGAGAGAGTGGGGCCTGGGCTGGGCCTGCTGCCTGCCTCTTTTTACTAAGAGGGAGTTGTGCTGACATGTGTGTTGGTGCTGTGGCAGAGGGCGTTCTATCAGATAGGCAGAAAGGTTGATTCAGCCTTTGTGTTCTACCCCATGTTCCTGCTTCACTGAAACTAACAACAACAACAACAACAATACTCCAAGGTACTGTGGCATCAGAAACTTAAAACAAGAAAGTGGGGGGAAAGATAAAATGTTTCTGCTTGGAAGACCAGTTTATGATCAATGTTTAGTATATGGTTTTGCAGCAACAGCACTCTAATGCCTCCTATAATAACAAGTGCCTAGCAGAGGAGGCTGTAGGGAAACAGGATCAAATCTGGAGAGTCACAACCAACCATCAGAAAGGGAATATCTGAAGTTATGAATAGAGAATGGCTAAAAAAATGTGCAAAATTCTCTCATGCACAACTTTTAATAATGGTGTTGGAATGTTGATCTTCTTTCAGTGGGGTCCTGGTGCTCTGCTGGTGTCCTGGAGCTTGGTTTCCAGAAGGAAAATGGAGGTTCTGTTTCTCTCAGGGGCAGCTAGAGTGCTATATAGGGTGAGGCCTGTGTGCTGAGCAGGGGTTTGCTGGTGAGAATGGAAGCTTGGGCATTCCCAACGCATTACAGCTGTTGGTTAAATGTCTGTGCTAAGCATGGCAGAGGAGAAGAGGGGCAGGCCAAAGCCCATTCCTGGTTGGCTTTTAGACAAGACACAGGTTTAGTGAGGCTCAGGCCCATTGTGCCAAAGGGTAAGTCAGGTGAGATGCCGCCATAAAACATGAATCTCAGAAGGTCTTCAAGTGAGAAAGTGCATACCTGTATACCTTTATTCATGTGAAATCAGGCAATATAAACCCTTGGCAGAGAGAGGGATTTCAACCGTGAATGTGTTTGATTTGTCAGAGGGTCAGGGATACTTAGTGGTTCTGTAAGAAGAAGGAAAATATAGTCCTTAATTATCTTATGGGGAGGTAGATGATCTCTGAGTGTAATTGAAGGTCACTGCTGGACTAAGATCCTTAGCAGGGTAGGACATTTCTAGCAATACACAGCTAGCTGAACCAGTTTCCTTCTCAGGAAAGAGTTTGGCCTGTAATCAGCTCTGAGGGCTATGTGATATTCCTTACAAGACCTGGAATCACTCAGATCAGGGGAGACTGTTAGCTCCCCGCTAAAAAAAAA